GAGCTAAACAATTCCAAACCAGTATGGAGTGAAAAGCCAAAGCCTTAATTTAAATGCAAGGTAAGTCAAAATAATTGAAATCTTCGTATTTTATGCGAAAAATGTAATTTAACCTTCAACCACGCATTTAAAATTTTAAGCTCTTTTCAAGTTTCTTTCAATCAAATTCCTAAATTCCAAATTCCAAATAATGACAAATGACTATATATTACTACATTTTATGTTTCTAACAATAGTTTAAAAGGCTCACTACTATTCTTATGTAGATGCATGTATTACTATCGAACCTCCACACCCCCATTAAAAAGGGAAATTACATCATTACGCTAGAAGCCAGGAGAAAATAAACAAGCCAAAAACTGCATCAATTTCTCAGAATATGATTATGGAAATACCCATAACAAAGCATCCCATAGCTACCCAAGGACTTAAACGCTCACCTGAAAAAATCACAGAATGAGATGGCATCAGGAGATATTGTGATGCAAAAAAAAAGGGGGGAAATGGAAAAAATAAAAAAAAAGAAAATGTTTCTGAAAATGCAATCTCATAAAAGCATCAAAACAGGTGTATTTTGCAGGATAAAGAATTATCAGTAATGATAGCAGAAGCTTTGCTAGTTAGATGTGATCAAAATCAGGTTGAAGTTACAAATAAATCACTATTTTGGCATTACTGATACGTTTTTTGCATTTGTTTAAGCATATAGAGTTATACAAGAGGAAGAAGTGTCATTGCAACCATATATTGCCCTTGGTGGCAACTCCTAAATAGCTGCACCAGAACCTGTGCTGACAACAATTTTACTATTAACCATAAAAATAAGTGAGCACTATTCCACATAATTGCCGCCTGCATTCCCCTGGCTCTACCGCAACTACCCTCTGACACTAGGATCACCTGTTCCACTACTTGCAATTACGATTCTCCACCTATTTAAATCATATGCCTCACACAAGTATTAATTACTCTTTTTACAGAATTCTTCCTGCATATATAGAAACACTTACTGTTTAAATGTATTTTGAAGGAATGTCTATTAGCTGCTTTGCATGTCTTCCACTGTTGTCCTGTATCGTAAGCTGCACCTGTAGCTTATCTTCAATGGAGGTACTGTACTGAACTTCTCATGGTATTACAGTCGGGTTACCATCCTACCTGTAGCCTATCTCCTTTTCATACAACAACCCAACTTCAAACTCTCCTACCCCACTCATGGCCGAAATTCACATATCCTTAATCTCTAAAATTTTTTATGTTTAACATCAAAAATGTTGCTCACATTCAACTCACCACTGACAACCATCCTATTTGAAAATCCCAAATTCAAAAGCTATTCAAGGCAAATGATTTTAATAGCTTCCTGGATGGTTCGGCCACCCCTCCACCTCAAATACCCAATTCAATGGTCAGCCTATTCAGAATATGGAATTTCTCACTTGGCAACTAATTGATCAAAACTTATCAGCAGCCATATACTCCACTATTAAACCCACAATCCTCCCTTATATCCCCAATCTTGAATCTACTTCTGAGATATGGACAACCATCATTAAGCCACTTCCAATCAACCAACCGATCACGTGTTATCCAACTATGGAATGAACTCCATCACATCTTTAGAAAAGATCAATATATGACTCAATACCTCCTTCAGATTAAATCGTTGGTTGATAAAATCACTACTTCTGGTGGACACATAGATTCTGAAGACATCATTTTGCACACCCTCAACGGATTACCAAACTTCTATCAATCCTTCAAAACAGCAATTCGCACACGACCTAAACCAATCAACCTCGATGATCTCTATTCTTTATTCTGCAAGGAAAAAACCAACATTTCTGCTGAAATTGCCAAGGCATCAAACCTTAACGTTGTTGTACTATACTTATCCCAATTCGGTAAAAATGCTGCCACTCGCGGCCGAGGAAAACAATTTCCAACCCTTCGAGGCACTACCAGTGCACGTGGCAACTTTTCCTCTGCTAGAGGACGCAGCCTAGAAAACTCTTGCCCTACTTGTCAAATTTGTGGAAAACAGAGACATGCTGCCGTTACCTGCTGGCACTGCTCCAATTCCTCCATGTATCCATCAACAAAAACTGATGTTGCTCTCCTCAAATCTACCAATACAACAACGAATGGTTGCTAGATTCAGAAGCAACTTCCCAACTCACATCCAATATTAAGAAACAACAACTGCCACACCATATTCTGGTTCCAATTTTGTTATCATAGGCGACGGCTCAACCATTCCTATTACTCGTTCTGGTAAAAGTATCTTACCCACACCCCAACATAAGCTTCAACTCTCCCAAATCCTCCATTCACCATACCTAACTCACAATATTCTATCCGTACATCAACTCATTTCGGATAATAATGGTGGTATTATTTTTAACAAATATGGTTTTATCATTAAGGATCAGAAGACAAACCAAATTCTGCTTCAAGGACCTAGCAAGGGAGGTCTCTATCCCATCTCTACTTTCTTTGTGTCCAATACCTCGCCATCCTCCATCACAACATGGCACCACCAGCTCGGCCATCCTCATCTACCATCAAAGCCATCTCCAAAACTACTACTAATATTTCTTTTTTTTTTTTTACAATGAATGCAACTCTTCAAAAAGTCATAGAGAGTGTTTTCCTCTTCCTAAATCCAAAACCAAATGTGCAGCCAAACTTGCTCATCCTGCTGTTTGGGGACCTGCCCCCACTATGTCTCTTCAAGGCTATAAATATTATACTCTTCTTGTTGATGATTATTCTCGTTATATCTAGGTGTTTCCTATGGTCGCCAAATCTGAAACCACAAAAAAACTCATTTCAGTTCATAAAATGGTTCAAAATCAATTTAATAAAAATATCAAAATCTTACGTAGTGATGGAGGGGGAGAATTCACATCCCACCATCTACACAACTACTTCCAACGTCATCTCATAATTCATCAATTTAATTGCCCCTACATACCCCAACAAAATGAATTTGTTGACGTATGCACCGACACTTCATTGAAACCACATGAACTCTTCTATTGACAACTCATCTGCCCCTCAAATTCTGGACAGTTGCCGCTCATGACAGCCACTAATCTCATTTATCGCGTCTTACAAAACTACCTCCCTAAATTCCCCACATGAACTTCTTTATAGCTCACCACCTACCTACTCTCACCTCAGAATTTTCGGTCGCCTATGTTTTTCATGGCAAAAACCACTTGCCCCAAATAAACTCTCTCTCACAGCTCCACCATGTATCTTCATTCGATACTATCCCTCTCACAAAGGCTACTATTGCTACAACCCACAAACTCAGCTCACCATTGTCTCTCGCCATGTTGTCTTCAATGAGCAAATTTTTCCCTTTCAAACCATCAAATCTCACTCTCCACCATCAAATATCTCTCCTCCAATAAATCCTCTTCTTCTCACTCCAACATCCACTCTTCCTCCAACAAGTACACCTTCCACATCAAGTACATAAATACCCACACTCACTCCACCTCCATTTCTCCCCTACCCTCCACAAACCTTCAACCTGAACCTAACCTACCACCTCCCACTAGACCAATCGCTCCCGTACACTCTATGACAACCGATACAAAATCGGGTCACTATAACCGAAGCAAATACTTAGCCTTACCACCTCCCACTCCACAGTGTTGATCCTACTTCTTATGCTCAAGCCTTCAAACATAGTCATCGGAAGCAAGTTATGTCTTTAGAGTTTCAAGCTCTTCATGAGTAAGGCAATTGGATCTTGGTAGATCCCTCACTACACCAAAACATTATCGGCTGTATATTGACCTACCGAACCAAGTACAATTCCAATGGAATGGCAACCAAGTACAAGGCTTGTCTTGTCACCCAAGCCTTCAAACAACAAGAGGACTTAGACTAGTTTGCTACATTCAGCTCCATCGCCAAGCTACCCAGGATCCGTATTTTTCTCACCATGGCTCTTCCAAACAAGTGGCAAATCCGCAAACTTGATGTCACTAAAGCCTTCCTCCATGGACCATTGGAAGAAATCTACATGTCTCAACGTCAAGGATTTTGTGATCAACAATACCCCCATTAAGTATGCTAGCTGAAAAAGGCTTTCTACTGACTCAAACAAGCGCCCCAACAGTGGTATCACACACTCATAACTCACCTCAAAGCATGACAATTTTGCATGAGCACCGTCGATCCATCCTTCCTCATCTACCAACACCTTTCAATTACTCTCTACTTTCTTGAGTGTGTTGATGACATCCTTATAAAAAGTAATGATCAAAACACCATCAACAACCTTATTTTTTTGATCTGCAAACTACATTCAAACTCAAAGACTTGGGTTTGCTTAACACGTTCCTAGGCATCAACATTAAAAGCATTCCTCATGGTTATCATCTTTCTCAAACTCCCTACATTACGTCTCTCCTACAACAACTTAACATGCTAACTTGCAAAACAGTTAAAACCCCCTTGCCTCACAAACTATAATCAAATTCTAAATCCCTTCATGCGCATCCCGATCCTACCCAATATCGTCAACTTGTCGGCTCACTCCAATACTTAATTACCACTCAAACTGGCATTGCATTTGTCGTTAACTACATATGCCAATAAATGCACAACCCATTGGTCTATCATTTTCAAATCTTCAAACGCCTCCTCTGCTACCTACAAGGCACCTTGCATTTTGGTCTCCCACTTGTCAAGGGTGATCGTCACCTTACCTGCACCCATTGATCTATCATTTTCAAATATTCAACCGCCTCCTCTGCTACCTACAAGGCGCCTTGCATTTTGGTCTCCCACTTGTCGAGGGTGATCTTCACCTTACCTGCAACTCAGATTACGATTGGGTCGGGGACTTCACCAATCGACGCTCGACTAAAGGTTTTTGTACTTGTTAATAATCTCATAGCTTGGGCATTTCAACGTCCGATGACTGTAACACGTTCCCCCACTGAAGCTGAATATCGGAGCCCTAGTTGCTGGTACCACAGACATCATATGGCTCGTCGACTACTCCAACAACCATCTACTGTGATAATACTTCCGCTATCACCATGGCACTTAATCCAGTATTTCACGCCCGCACCAAACATGTGGAATTGACTACCACTTCATACGTGATCAAATCTCTTCCGACGACATTCAGATTTCTCACACAGCTCTCATGATCAGATAACTAATATTTTCACCAAAACTCACACTGCCACTAAATTCAACAAACTCAGGAGCAAACTCACAATCAGTCCATCCGATTGCAAGTTTGAGGGGGAGTAACAATACTATTCCACATAATTGCCGCCTGCATTCCTCTAGCTCCATTGCAACTACCCTCTGACAGCAGGATCACCTGCTCCACTACTTGCAATATTACCATTCTTCACCTCTTCAAATCATATGTCTTACCCAAGTGTTAATTTCACCTTTCACATAATTCTTCCTGAAATATAGAAACACTTACCGTTTAAATGTATTCCGAAGAAATGTTTATTAGCTGTTTTGCATCTGTCTTCCTTTGTTTTCCTGTAACGTAAGCTGCACCTGTAACTCATTGATCTCTGAAACTGTTTATATGCAACAGTATAACAATGTCTCTGATTATATTTTCACTTATATTTCCTTACTTTGCAACAGAGTCAAAATTTGATCCTGAAGAAAATAATAATTTAACTTTTCAATTTATATATATATTGGGATACTACGCAAATATACGTATATTTATCAAGTAATATAAGACTTTTTGATTAAGACCTGAATATCGAACCTACAGGAAAATTATGCAATATGTTCTATTGAACAACAAGCTTTCTATTTTAAAAAGACAATTACTTAAATTAGAGATATATTTGCAGTAATTAGAATTCAAATCTTTTTTGTATTTTTGATATTTTGACAAAAAAGTAACAATTTAAAAAGATAACTTGAGTTTGTGTAAAAGAAAAGCACTAAATTTGAAAATATCTCTCTCCTTATCGTGAATGAGTATTAAGCATAGGAATTTTATTGTGGTAGTATGCAAATTGTGTTGTGCCAAATATGAGCAATTATATTCTTTACCCTTACTATAGATGCTATAAAGAAAATTGGCTAACTTAAAGTTTGAATAATTCTGAAAGGCAGGGAAATTAATAGCTCTCACTCTAGAGTTCTCTCGATTCCCTCCACTTGGGGGCTAACATCTCGTGTTAGAACCTAAAACAATAAACCAAGTTGGGGGCTTTAACCTGCCACTTTAAAATCATCTAACTCTACACCCTTCAATGATTATTTCCCTATTTATTTGCACTAAATCATATGAATTACATTCTCACTCATACAATTTCATGCGATTCTTTCCAATTGTTGACTGAGACAATATCAGCCCGGTTCTTGCATGTTCTCACAACAAATTTTAACATCTGGATAGGTCAAATCAAGAAGCAAATGAAGTTTATGGATTTAAATCATTACAACTTCTTCCAACATTAAAGATCAATACTCTCCACAAGTTCCATCCAATACTTTTAATTACTTATCATTTTAAGGAGAAAGATAAAGAAAACTACTCAGAATCGATGGAGAAAACAAAACATACTTTAGTTTAAAAGTAGAAATCATTGTTAAACCAACAAGAAATCTCAATTAAAACCAGAAGTAGTTCAAAACAGAAGATAAAAACTTATCTCAAATTCTCCACCAAACTCTTGAAGTCTGAAGTTCTTTTAAATCTCTTCTTTTTACAACACTCAAAATAAACTAAAAACAAGAAGGATTAAGCAAATTTGTGTCATGCTTGAATCTCTCCACAAGATTCCCACGATCTTCTCAAGACTCAGCACTATGTCCCTCATCAAGCACCCACTTCAAATGTCTCAACTTCCTTCTTTTATAAATTTCCCAAGAGGTACCTTGGAAACTCTTCAAAATGTGTCCAAATTCGATGTATTCTCCAAGGGATGTCTCTTTTCGCAAGTCTTTTAATAATATTTTCGTTCCTAGTGGTCATAGCCACCCTCTTTAGCCAATAGGTGTCTCAAATACCTCTTCAAAATTCGGCCAAACAAAGAAAACCGTCAAATAACTGCCTCTGACGCTTAAGTGTGGGGCCTCTGACACTTAGGTGCGGTCTTCTCTGTTTAACCGGCGTTTAAGCGCCGGATCTGGCGCTTCGGCGTCAAAACACTTCAGCACAATTTTCACCTCTTTGCTCTAAATTTGATCTTTTTTCACTCATTTTAGCATTTCTCACCTTTTTACTTGTACCTGAAAGAAAAACACACAAATAACTTCCATTAAAGCTCAATATCTCAAAAATAGGTATAAAAATGCGTCTAAAAATACTATATATTTTAGGTGTATCACTTATCTTCAATGGAGGTAATGTGTTGAACTTCTCAATACGTACTAATTTATACAAATTAGGCCACAATTTCAAACCAAAGCGACCTATGTTTTAGACTAACACAGTCATCATCATTGTCCTCACTTGCCATGTATATAATTTGACTTCATCAACTGCAATTCTCCATTCATTCATGTTTCATGTTGCAATAAATATCAAGTTAAATTCTATGCAAATGTTGCGCACCTTCTGGCTACGTGACTTGATCCGTGTTCTTTTATTTCTAGACATGATTAGTATCATATACTTGTCTTGTTGGTGCATTGTCTATCATCCTTTTTGTTCATGTACAAAAAATATCTCAATATATTTTACACTAACTTAACTTTAATGGATGCTAGTCCGTCAAATATAGTCACTTTTTAATTGATCATTTTTTATTCTACTACACCTCTATCTTAACATTCTAATATTTTTTCACACTCAATGGGTAACTTTTCTCCAACCTTCAAATTGATAATATAGTCTAATTGTAATTTTACAAATTGATCTCCATGTTTATAATATATTCCCTATGGTACCCTCGAGGCACTTCTTTATTTTAGCCATCCAATATTAGTGCTAAAATTTAAATCTTCATCTATACCTACAGTCTTCAATATAACATATTCAATATACTTAAATTTACCACCCCTATAGATTACTTTATTTCCATATATTGATTGATAATATTATTAATTTCATAACCAATAAGAATGCATATCATATATTTTGTCATTGCTCCAGCAATCCTAAGAGTAGCGAGTTTAAAACATCATTCCGTGTTTGAAACTCCAATTTCAGTAGGCGTTTCATCTATTAGAACCTATTTCATCCGTAAATAAGCATACTCCAAAATACTTCGATTATCTTCTATAGGAATATCCAAATCCAAAATGGAAAACATACAATCATAATGTTAATCCTTGATTAGAATCTTATAGTTATTGAGAACTATTGGTAACTTCAAAACTACTTATGATGCTAGACAATGTTTAACATTACATATCCTTAATAAATTTATCATATTTATGCTGGATGAATTTTACATCATACATACCAAATCCATTCTAATGACACTAGATCATATCATCATTTCCTCAACAGCAATAAAATTAATATAAAGATTTTTTTTTTTTGCCCTGCACATTTTTTTCAATAATTGAATTAGCACAAAAATTTCCTCTAAAATAGATCTTCCTAGAATAAAAACAAATTATTTTATGATACCAACATGATTTTTATAAATTTAAATTAAATTGTATGCAACATAAATTTGATTAAATAACAACAACAATCTAATCTCTCTTTCGTTCTTAAATCCTAATACTGAAGTATTTCTTCTTCAATCAACTGATATCATACTTAGTCTTCGTAACTACAACAGCACAGCTCTAAAACCAACAAACCAACGCCAAAGTACCAAGACTCCAGAGGGTAATATTGAATACTGAAGGCAATTTAAGCTTGAAATTGCTCTATATTACAAATAAGGCCATATAAAAGTAGTGGCAGAATAGAACAATAATGCTATAATCCAAACATGAGGCTAGCAAGTTATTGTTAAGTTTAGTAGAATACTTCTATCAGTAAGAGAATGGGCAACAAAATTACATAAATATAAGAGCTTATAGAACTCTTTCAACATCGATAGTCACTCCGTAAACTCAAGTGATTTCTTTTCAATTTTTTTAATATATACTTATACAAAACAGAATATATTCCTTCTATTTAATGCTTCTCATAAAAGACATTTAATTCATGACTCTAAAAGAAATTAATTAATTTATATTCCAGTTAAAAAACTTTTTGCTCTGCCACCTGTAGTGCTGCACTCTAACATCAACATAAGCACAAGCATCATAGGTGTTTTAGCACTGTGAGACTTGCTCAAATCTAATTTGCTAATGAATTTTTAGATTGCTTTATAAACAAGCGCTTTGGAGCCTTTGCTTATTAAAGAACCTCAGAAAGATGATGTAAAAAAAAAATTCATCATAATAACATTTAATATGAAAATTCTGTAAAGATGCACACTAATCAGTTCACATTCACATAAGAAAAAGATAGAATATTTTAAGAAGAACATAAATCTTAGACTGAAAAAGAAATACCTATTCTAGCAGCCTTCCAAAAGAACCCACGGAAACTGCAAAAAAGATGACACTTTAGAACATCCTTTGGTTCATAAACAAATTAATTTATTACAATCAAATGGAATAATTTGAAATCTATAAAATGAGAGCTAGAAAAAGAAACACGTAGATTCTAGGGAGCTAGCACAATCGGTGCATGCAGAAAATTTAAAACAGACAGAGAACAAGAGTTTTATACGGCAAAATTCCAAAATAAAGTAGAAACAGTAAAAAAATTTCAAAATTTAAACAACAAGCCTAGTCTCAAAAACTAATAGGACTAGTTATTTTAGAGGGTAAAAATATAGATGATACCCAATGCAGGAGGCTTCCCACAGATACAAGGTTTACCAAGGGTATAAAAGGCTAAAAATGGATTTACTTAATTGATAATTCACCGGGTAAAAGAAAAAAAAACATACAGTAGTGGATGGACAACATAATAAACATAATTGATAATTCAAAAGAATAAAAAAAATCAGTGGTAGAAGGAAAACACAAGGATTTTTCCAAAATCCCAAGAGGTGTTGGTGGCTGAGGTCAAACATCCTTCTTTCAGATAGGAGCATCAACCCATGTCCTCAACTATCATAATAGCGTGCGATGACCAAAAGGATACTACCCTTAAATGGCTAAGGACCTTTTCATTGAACCTTAGACATCGTCTTCAACGATATTTGTTTTTTCTAAAGGGTACTATTATGTGCTAGAAAATTTGTAGCAGTACAGTGAGAATTTTCTATGTTAACGATGCAGTGCTAGAAAATTTGCAGCAGTACAGTGAGAATTTTCTATGTTAACGATGCACAATATTTCACACGGTGATAAAAGAAGATCAAATAGATGTAAAGGTTTTTTATGTGAAAACCCCTTTAAAAATAACGGCACTTGGCCGATCTGAAATAATCCACTTGTAAGGTGAAGATTACGAGAGTCTATCATTCTCCTAGACTGAAGGACAGGGACTACTAATTATGGATTTTCATCTTAGACTCCCATAAGAATAGTGAAACATAGAATAAAAACAGTAAGAGGTCGTGGATGTCACTATTGACTGATAGTCAACAAAATTGGTTGAGTGGCAATGGTAATTAGCGTCAATTGACTACATATGACTGTGGTCAAATTACTACAAACATCGACGTCGGTTGGAGTTTTTCATTGTCAAATTACTAGGTTATTGCTCATGCTTAAATTTTTATTCACTAGCATTCAATTTTAATGGCTTTGCATTGCAAAGAAGTTTTGAGCTTGGCTTTATATAAATTATGTAATTCTCACCATGCAATATTTATTTTACTTCAAAGCCTGTTGATGCAAGCATCTACCACATTTGGGCGGCATGTGTAACTCCCGCGACTGAAGCGCCACCGCCTACTTGCCTAGACCAAACTAGTCCAGATTTTTCTGTCTTATGAGGAATCGGTCGGTCATCCTGGGCCAATCCTAGTTATCTTAATATTATATATTTGCTTTTGTGAGTGTCTCGGGTTAAGTTTTGTGTGAGTTTACTCGGGATTGCCACTAACATCTTCGCTTCTCCCTTTGAGGGTTGTATCCAAGGAGAGAAACAGTGCCACCATCCTATTGTATCTCTCTACTGAAGTGGTGATTTATTTTTCGCCAAACCTTCCACGTCCCTCTTGCTTCGCTGCCACACCTCCCACCACACTACAGCCCACCCACAATCGCTGTCCTGGTTGTTCCTTCCTGCAGTTTCCTATCGCCCGGCCGTACCATTTGCTTTCTGCTTATTGCCGCCATCCAGTACAGCAACTAGCAAGAAGTCGCTGTCCCTGCCTTTTCCAATCCTTCCGTGTCGTTTCCCGCCTCCTTTCTTTGCTGCCGCCGCCCAAAACTGCAGCCCATACCGCTGTTTCTGTTGTTATAACCATCATTCCAACTTTTTTCCACCTAGACTGGTTCCAATCCTGCAGTCCCACCGCCTGCTGCCTAATGTTGCAATCCCCTTTTCTGTCGCTGCTGTCACCTGGAACAGCCAACCTGCGGTTTTCCGGACTCTCCCAGCCACTCTACACTCACTGCCACCACAAAAACAAGCCTCTAGAAGCCCCTAATTACTGCAACCGCCACCCTCCAATCATTCCAGTCACCTACCACCCTTCCCAATCCACCTAGCCGTTACCATCCCCAGATCGGACCCCAGCTTGAGTTTGTGTGATGTGGTTTTTGTTATTTCCAATTTCAGTGTGTTTGATTGTAATCTCCTATTTGCTTTCAATAGTAATATTTGTTTTTCCTTTTGTTGTTTGGGTTAACTTAGTTATTACTTGTAATTAAACCAATTCATTGAGCTCTCCTTTTCCATGCATTCTTGTCGTGAAGTACTGACAATTTGAAAATGAACTAAAATATGCTTCATCTAGTGAAGCAAGCATTTTAAACAATGATTTCTCAAGGGGAAAATTGGAGAATGGATAAAAGCTTAGTTGAGATGACAGACTACTATAAGTATTCATGTTCATTGGTGACCTATTATTTTTCTAGCTCCAAATTACACAAAATTAAACTATTGTTTACCTCATGCCTAATGTGACTTACATTGTTTATTTATTAAGTTTCAAAATCGTTTTAAGGCTATTTCCCCAACAAATTTTTATTCAACTTTAAATGACTTGGTCAAATGTAGTATTACGTTCCTTGAGCATACCAAGATGTGTTTGGATGTTCAGTTTTCACAATTTTAGAAACTGAATACATTTAGCCATGCCAAGGCATAATTGTAAGCAGCATTTTCAGCAAAATGGCTAGCAAAGAATAAAGCCCATAACAAGCTGTTCAATATTTCTCCCCATAATTCATCAGATATCAGACAATAAATGATTGATTTAAGATTTGAGCAAAGTGAGTATGGCCATTCTTTATCTCCAACCAATGATGCAAAAAATTTAGGCGTCATATGTTCTAATAACCAAAAGCAATTCGTGGCCTTGAATCTTAGAATGAACAAAGATTACCAAGACAAAAAGGGTGGCTTACTTTGAGTGCAGATGGATATTCTAAAGAAAAACCCTTAAATGACCTCAACAATGGGTGTTCTACAAGAGGAAAATGTAACTTAGAGTTGTTATTATTGTATGACAAGTTGGCATATAAAGTAAAAACTAAACCATGCAAAGAAATATATACATTAGAGAATAGAGATGAAATTAACAACGAAAAATTAATTAGTCATCAGTAGAAATAAAAAATAATAAGTAAAATGCCAAAATAGTCCCTTGACTATTAACATGGGGCAATTTTAGACCCAAAGTTTATAAAAGTGCAAAATTAATCCCCAGATAAATTTTATATACCTTGAAATAGTTCCCAAGTAGGATTATTTTAGCCCCATTTAAAACACTCAGGGGACTAAAGATTTTTATGGACTTTAAGGCTAAATAACCATAAACAAAGAGTCAGGTAACAATTTTGACACTTTTCAAAGAATAATTGACCTTTACCCAGGTGAGGAGAGCTCCTTCTTTGTTAAGGAGTACAACACTCAAATTTATAATTAAAAGCAGCCTACTGCTCCTTTGTTCATGCTTGGACTCCTTTTTTCTTGCTTCTTGATCTCGTCCTTACCATAAGTTGCCTTCATTGAATGCCTCGCTTATTTGAAATGCACCGATGTACCCTCTTCAACATGTGTCGTTGGATATATATATATATATATATATATATAAGGAGAGAGTGTGTCGTTGGATATATATATATATATAAAGAGAGAGAGGAGCCTTCTTAGAGAGAAAAGTTAACAAGGCAGCTCTAAGGCAACTCTTATTGTGCCTCTGAAAAAATCCATCTTTTACTTAATTGTACCCAAAGCTCTTCTTCCTTCCTTTAGGGTAGGTTATAGAAATACATGGTATGGGATGAGTAGCATAAAATAAAAAGATTAATGTGGCTTAGATTTCGTCGATAAAAGAAAGATAAGAAGACTCATCTCATAGATTAAGAGTGATGAATTAATAAAATTACTAAAATTTTATGCTATAAGTTACTATATCTTGAAACAAAAGCTTAGGATAACTATAATGATTGAGAAGATATATCCACTCATGATGCATGATATATAACTTCTTAGGCAGAATAATCCCCTTATCTCGAAACCATTTCAATTTATTTGGCTAAATATCCATAAACATAGATAATTCCTAACTATAGATACAGGAATCCCATCAAAATAACACTCTCTCCTCCACTTCCTTCGGCAAACCCCTTGAAGTTTTATGTTATGTGTGGGATTTAAACTCAAGCTCTCCTAAATTTAACTTGAATTTGATTGCCTCTCTTGTAGCATCTATGCAGCCATGAATGGCTCATGCACCTAATCTAGCTTCTTAGATTAAACTGGATCTGAACTTGGGTTTGAGTTAAGCTTAAGCTTAAATTTTATCTTGATTAAATTTGATTTGGCTAATGCTATATAGTGCACCCCTTTTGGTTCACTTATTTGGCTTGGCTAGCTGATTGACCAACAAATTGCATAGAAAAGCCTCTTTAATTGTTCGGGTTTCAAAATTTTTGGTAAAGAAATAAGCAAGTGATGCAAAGCTCAACAAACTAACTTGGAAAGAGAATAGATTGCACTAAATCATAGTAACTCTAATACGAACCAAAACAATTTTTCACAAAAATTAGCGCAAAAAAAAAGATTTTATTTCAAGAACCCAAACAACACGCTCAAATGTATAAAGATAAACGCCTACAATTCGAGAGTTAGGCAATCTCTCAAACCTTAAGCCTAAAACTCAAGACCACAATCTTAAAGCATGCCCTAACCCTAACCTATTAAGCCCTGTTTATACCAAATAATATTAAATAAGAAAAAACTAAATTGCCAATGGGGCTCAGCGTAATAAACTCCCCAATGGGTTTGGTTCCCTCATGCTCTTTATATGTAAAATAAATAAATGAAAGAGATAAAAATGGTTATACGTCTTTTACCTTCTTCAACAATAGTTTTTTGGCTTCAATTGCTCTCTTATTTTGGGTTCACAAAGAAGTGTGGCTTCTTCAAAATTTTCTATCTCAGAAAGAGATAAAAATGGTTATACGTCTTTTACCCTCTTCAACAATAGTTTTTTGGCTTCAATTGCTCTTTTATTTTGGGTTCGCAAAGAAGTGTGGCTTCTTCAAAATTTTCTATCTCATCACACCATGAAATGGGGGAGTTGAAGTGGACCTTAAAAGTATTATTGATAGCGAATCCCCACCCACAAAAGACCTTTGTTTGAAGGGAAGAAATATTATTCCATCCTTTAGAGTCTTGCATTTTTCTCTACTAGCCTATAAGTGTTTATTGATTTGAATAAAGAATTTATTACCAAACTTTCCAACAATTTAAAAGAGATAAGTTAAGCATGTGACAAAAAAAAAACTGTTGCCAAAAAACCTTTTCCATCTCTTCTAATTCTTTTTGCCAAAAAGTTTGATGCTGCATCAGACAATTGCAAGTCGTTCTGTGCCATTTGCATTTTAGATAGCGTTAAAAGCAACTAGAGTATGACAGTTTCAAAGTCTTGGCATGTCATTTTCAGAAGTCACTAAAGGGTAGCTTCATTCTTTAATCTTCATATAATTCAACCATATCTGTGCATGGACATTATGCTGATAGAGTCCAATTTAGATGATGGGAAGCTTATCATTTTTTTATATCACTTTAAGGTGGTTTCATGCTTTAATCTTAATGTACTTAAGCCTTACAAGTTCATGGAGATTATGCTTATAGAGTCCAGTTTAGATGATGGGGAAGCTTTTAGTCATTCAAGTGGTTCTATGATGCATAGACCTGCCACCCAGCATGATGCTTAATCAATCCAGTAAAGTTATTTGGAATCCTTTTAAATTATAATATCTTATTAAAGAAAAAAAATAAAACAATTTAAGCCCTTTCCAAGTATTTTAGTCTGCCAGAAATATGTTGTGTATTGATATCAAGAACTAGTTGGGATTAGCAAGTTGGGAAAATCAAACAGATGCGTTGAGTTCGCATTAATACAATCCATAATATGGTCAGACTGACAAGTGACAAACCTTGTCCTAATAGTTGGTGTTGCAATAAACACTTACAATTTAGTACCCATAATCATGTGACGAAAGAATCCATGAATCCATGCAATGGATACTGACTCATTCTTCAAAAGACTGCCACTAATAGTTTTCAACATTCAATTAAAAGAAAGGGGATGTGATATGAAAATCAAAAGGAAAGAAATAACGTAAAAAAATGAAGTATTCCAAGTAAATGTGGAAAACCATGATGCTAACCACTTAACCTCTTAAATTTATGTGTTTCTTTACCATACAAATTGTTAACTTTGTTTGCATAGAAAATATTTACCCATATTAATATATGAAATAAGATTGCAAGTTATAATGCTTCCTATTCTTGGGATTGGTGTTTTTGAATGCTTAATTAGAGTCAATTAAATATTATGAGTTTATGAGAATGAAGTCATAAGCAGGACAATATCACACCATGAAATGGGGGAGTTGAAGTGGACCTTAAAAGTATTATTGATAGCGAATCCCCACCCACAAAAGACCTTTGTTTGAAGGGAAGAAATATTATTCCATCCTTTAGAGTCTTGCATTTTTCTCTACTAGCCTATAAGTGTTTATTGATTTGAATAAAGAATTTATTACCAAACTTTCCAACAATTTAAAAGAGATAAGTTAAGCATGTGACAAAAAAAAAACTGTTGCCAAAAAACCTTTTCCATCTCTTCTAATTCTTTTTGCCAAAAAGTTTGATGCTGCATCAGACAATTGCAAGTCGTTCTGTGCCATTTGCATTTTAGATAGCGTTAAAAGCAACTAGAGTATGACAGTTTCAAAGTCTTGGCATGTCATTTTCAGAAGTCACTAAAGGGTAGCTTCATTCTTTAATCTTCATATAATTCAACCATATCTGTGCATGGACATTATGCTGATAGAGTCCAATTTAGATGATGGGAAGCTTATCATTTTTTTATATCACTTTAAGGTGGTTTCATGCTTTAATCTTAATGTACTTAAGCCTTACAAGTTCATGGAGATTATGCTTATAGAGTCCAGTTTAGATGATGGGGAAGCTTTTAGTCATTCAAGTGGTTCTATGATGCATAGACCTGCCACCCAGCATGATGCTTAATCAATCCAGTAAAGTTATTTGGAATCCTTTTAAATTATAATATCTTATTAAAGAAAAAAAATAAAACAATTTAAGCCCTTTCCAAGTATTTTAGTCTGCCAGAAATATGTTGTGTATTGATATCAAGAACTAGTTGGGATTAGCAAGTTGGGAAAATCAAACAGATGCGTTGAGTTCGCATTAATACAATCCATAATATGGTCAGACTGACAAGTGACAAACCTTGTCCTAATAGTTGGTGTTGCAATAAACACTTACAATTTAGTACCCATAATCATGTGACGAAAGAATCCATGAATCCATGCAATGGATACTGACTCATTCTTCAAAAGACTGCCACTAATAGTTTTCAACATTCAATTAAAAGAAAGGGGATGTGATATGAAAATCAAAAGGAAAGAAATAACGTAAAAAAATGAAGTATTCCAAGTAAATGTGGAAAACCATGATGCTAACCACTTAACCTCTTAAATTTATGTGTTTCTTTACCATACAAATTGTTAACTTTGTTTGCATAGAAAATATTTACCCATATTAATATATGAAATAAGATTGCAAGTTATAATGCTTCCTATTCTTGGGATTGGTGTTTTTGAATGCTTAATTAGAGTCAATTAAATATTATGAGTTTATGAGAATGAAGTCATAAGCAGGACAATGGTGCATGTTGCAGCTCATTTCATACAACTTAAAATTTTCTACATTTAAAACTTCAGGAATACAACCATAACAAGTTTAAGATTCTGAAATTTGTTGGAGAAAACAAGAATAGTTTTGGTGGAGTTTGATCAAAACTAATAGATAGAAATACTAAGTTAATCTAAACAAATATCTGGTTAAAGAAAGCAAGCCAAGAACAATGAGAAAAACAAAATAGAATGTACTAAAATAAATAAAGAAAAATAAGTT